AGAGTGTTAGGGAGGAGCATCATATGTGTTTGCCCTTTTTTTTCTCTCCACTGTGGTCTCTGGGAGGAGAACACCAAACCAAAACACCAAACAAGCCCAAAACACTGGACTAGATGAACTCTTGGTATGAAGTGGCATGACTATTTTATTTACTGGCAAGCTTGAACGCTGTGGCACAGAACAGCATGCAGTGTGCTCTTGTATGTGTTTTTTCAGCCTGTTTGCTTAAAAATCTCAAGTATTTTATATTTATATTTTACTGATGTTTACTAGATTTCTCTGAAGCACAGTGTTCATTTACAACTGGAAAAATATTTATTTGAGTTACTCTGGGTATGTAATTGAGGATGGCAAGGAGCTAGTCTTACATATCTTTCAAGTTCTTTCCTGAGTGACCAGATAAGAGTAGAACTGGTGTGTGTGAGCTAGATAGAGGGAAGAAGGATATTGGATAGTGGAAACTATTTTATGCTTATTTTGGAAATGTCATGTTTCAGAAACAGATCTTAGTATTAAAGATACTTCCCTATTTTGATCCAGATGTTTCAGATACTTGTAGCATTTCAGCAGATGGGCCTCCTAAATTTACTGTTAATGCTACTCAGTTCTGAGGTCTAGGAAAAAGAGAATCTTCTTCTTTCAGAGATTTCTAGAACGGATAGTTTTGTCTGGATTATTTTTCCACTGTAAAGGTAAGTGACTGCTTTTTGTCTAAGCAATGACTTTTTCTTTCGTAGAAGGTGGCAGAGGCTGAGGATGACAGTGATAGTGATAGTGATGATGATGAAGATGATGTTCAAGTCACCATAGGGGATATTAAAACAGGAGCTCCACAGTATGGGTAAGTTATTTGCAAACATTAACTGGGGGAACTTTCAAGATTACATTTAATTATTAATTCAGGCTCTTTAATACTTGTCAATGTCAAATTGTATGCATAGTTTGTCTCAATTTAGGTTTTTTTCAGCTCTTTAACAATGTTTTTGATGATAATACTGACTTGAAAACAAAAAAAAGTGAAATGAAATCAATGAAATGTCTTGAAGAGCTGTTGTACGAGTTAAATTTCATTTTCAGGTTTTGAGAAATGGTTGTATTAAGTTTGTAAGTAGAGAGTTGTTTTTTATTACGGAATGGCTATGTTACGTAGCATTTTTAGGGTCGTTACTGTGACGGTGACATTTTTGTTGCAAATGGTAGAGTGGTAAGCACAGACAACATTAGAAACATTTGTCCTTTGTCTGTTTGTAGTGGATACAATTCTAATTAGACCTCCATAGTTTCAATTCCTGTTGATGTTCTCAAATAAGATTTTAATGTACTTCAGGATGGAGCTGCCAGTCTCTGGAGATAATTTCTCAAGGTCATGGTTTAGGCATTTGTACTGTACAAGAAATTTTTTGCCGCTGTTATTGCCCCATATTTGTTCTTGTCTTGATAAAGGGCTTGTTTTTCACTGAACACTTTTGAACAGTGTTAATTTTACCCAAAATTATGAAATACTATTTTTCATTACATGGAGGTTTTCTGAGGGAAGTGGTTTGCTTGTTTGTCTTGGCAATCCTAATGTTTTTATGCTTATTAAAACCAGAGTTACTAGGGCGTCATTTCTTAATAGAATTATGACAGGTCTGCAGGTAGGTCTGACTCGTGTATTACTGTGTTCTTAATTTTAGAATGCAGGTGTTTTACTCATTTTTGAAACATAGTATTTCTAAGCTTGCAGTATTTCATAAACTAACTGTGCAAATCAATGTAATATAAAAAATAGCAATTCTTTCAGTTCTTCATTTGTCTGCTTTCAATAACCTGTCGTATGCTTGTGGTGTAGGCAGTGACCTCAAATTTTGCGAGACTAAAGCAAAACTAGATTTATATTCTCAGTGGATTTGCTGGTGCTCTTTCTGTGAATACTGAAAACAATGAGCCGATGATCCTAAATCTAATTAGAGTAGAAAGTTTTATGTAGAAATGGTTGTTTTCTGAAAAACGTTTTTTCTGGCCAAATTGAGTCATAGATTCAAATTGGACAGAAAGTTAATGGAACAGCAGTGTAATCTAAAACAAACTCAACATTGCTGTTCATTTTAACTTCAGTATAACAAGTTCCTTTTATAGGATTAAATGATTTTTCATGTAGTAGTCAATTGCTGTTTAAAAAAACCTGTAAGATTTGTTTGGCAAAGTCATGCACAAATACAGCATGGCAGATCAGAAGGTTAAATGTTTTGTTCTGTTGTAGCACTTGAATGAAAACTAAAACTGCATGGAAGTGGTACTGTAAACTATACACTGCCTTCTGATTATATGCTAATCTCATTACGTTTATGGGTTGCTACCACCTCTGAGGATAAGCTGCATTGCATGCAAATGGTAGTATAAGCTAGCTCTTAACATTCCAAATGAACAATACTGTAATTCCTAAGGTAGTTAAACCAGTTTAGTATCTGGATTTCTGGGTGCATTGTTATGAAGAAAGCTCTCAAGTATTTTAGAAAGTGAAATGTTACATACTTTTTCTGTTGGTCACAAGGATAGGTGATGGCTAGAAGTGCATTGAAACAGACAGCCTTTCAATCACTGTAGAGAAATGCTTTTATTTCCCATTTCTGTACAGATTAAATGGAATAATTATGAAAAGAGAAAAGGATCTGTCTAAACACTTTCTTTTTTTTATTTTGTTTTTACTCTAATTCCCAGACTGTCATCTGTATCCCTAAATGAACTGCATTTTTCCTTTCTCTCTTCTTCTGGTTCTGTCCATTCTTGTTTCTATCAAGGTCTTTATCCTTTCAACTCAGGAAGAGTGACTGGGACTTGCTTCACAACTGTTTATTAGTTGGAGAAGTTGCTACTGAGCATAGAAAGGTATACTCTCTTCCTCTTAGGCTGATCTCTTTACTTTTACAGTGTTACCAGCTTGGAAAGCTAGAGATTCAGGATGGCGATTGAGCCTGGGTCCAGTTTGTTTCTGGATCTGGCAAACTCTTGTTTTGTGTTTTCTTCTGTTTTAAAAGTTTTCTCTGTCTAATTCAGTTTTGTTAATTTCTTTTAAGTTATGGAGCAGCACCTGTGAATCTCAATATTAAGACAGGAGGACGAGCTTATGGATCTTCTGGTAAGAAAATTTACACAGTAATATTAGTAAAAATGCAAAAGAAATGTTTGATTGTTTTGGATGAAGGAAATAATTTTCACTTCCAAAACTTCTTGATAAATTTAAAACTGATTTTTTATTGCTATTTTAAGTGTCTTACAACTGTTAAAACTGTATTTGGTAGAGACAGAAGGCTCTAACTTTCTAACTTTTCTTCACAGGTGCAAAAGTTAAAGGGGTGGATCTAGACGCACCAGGGAGTATTAATGGTGTGCCACTTCTGGAAGTAGATTTAGATTCTTTTGAAGATAAACCTTGGAGAAAGCCAGGTAATGCTCTGGTTTACATTAACTGATATGTAGGTATTCAGTAGGTTGTTTTAATAATTCCCATTTACTGCATGTAGATGTTATCTACCCTGTAGCTAGAAGATACTGTACAATATAACTTGGAAAAAGCAGCTAAGTTACTTGTTGCCTTTGTGCTGTGCCACAGAGTGTGTGGATGTGACACGTTTCTTAGTATATATTCTGCACATACATCAGCAAATAGAGACTGTAGGACGTGAGCTTTATTTTTTTTAAAATACATGTGTATCCTGCACTCTCCTTGGAAATCTGTATTTCTGTGGAGATTATTGCCATTGGTCTGTGCCATAGGACAGAAGATAAAGCAGAATGGAAAATAGTTCTAGCAGGTTTGAGCATGAAGAATGGTGAAACGTAGCTGCTTGTGCTTCTTTGTGTTCTCGCGTAGACATTTGTAAGCTTTGAAGAAGAAGGTGGTACCACGTGGGCTTTCCATAAGTCTCCTGTGTGTATTGCCAGTTTGGCTCAAGTGATTTGGCCAGACTTGTCTAATACTGGCATTGTTTTGGGTTTTTTTGGTTTTGGGTTTTTTTTAGTAGCAATACGTCTTGCTGCTTTGTATAGTTTTTTCTAGTGTTTGTATATTGTTTTGGCAATGCAAATAGTGTGTACAAAATGGAAAAAAGAAGCCTTTGATAATATTCTGGTGTTGGAACCGTTATGTATTTGAAATATATTCTGTGCATTTGAGTTGTGTCTGGTCTCTCTTACAATAAAAATACTTGGTGGCATCAGGTGAAACTAGCAGTCAAAACAAAATGAGGACAAGCAAAAGGGAGTGGTTCTTCACTGAATGTACAGCAAACCTTTAGATCTTACATTTATCTTATTGTAAAGATAAGGGGATTATAATATCCTATGATATTCTGTAAGTATCTACTTTTGATCCCTGAGAGACAATGCTAGGCAAGATACTATTTCTGACTAAATTTTAATGTTTTTATAGTCTTAGTTTACTGATGTGAGACTGTATTGTACATTTCAGTAGTATATTTTTAGATGAATATGTAATCCGTTTTGATGTTATAGATAGAGGTGTATGTATGTTCAGTGAAGAAAAGATGAACTTTGTAATGTCCTAAAAAACTATGCTTTTCTATTTAAAGGGGCCGATCTCTCTGATTATTTCAACTATGGGTTCAATGAAGATACCTGGAAAGCGTACTGTGAAAAACAAAAGAGAATACGAATGGGTCTTGAAATTTTACCAGTTACCTCAACCACAAATAAAATTACGGTAATTAGTACAACTTTTGTGGTATTCTACGTGCTTTTTTTCCATGTAAAGCTGCTTGTGTGTCATAAGCTTGTTCTGCCCAGTTCAATGTGTTTGTTAGCGTTTGCACCTGACTCCCTACCCTGAGTCTAGAGTGTTCCTGTGTTGCTTCACTGGCAATTTGTGTGGATAGTGTGACAGGCTAGCTGCAGCTAGATTGCATCTGTACCTTTATTCAGATTGTGGCCCATCACTTAAGAGTTGTATGGTATCTTAATGGGCAATGTGTTATTTAACTTAGGCTGAAGACAATGCTATGGAAGTAAGACCAAGTGCAGAGATTCTCGATGGCAGATACCATCTTTTTAAGGTGAATTTTAGTAAACTTTTGTTGGTTGCTCTCATTTTTGTTGAGTATTGCTTCCCATGCCACCACAGACAGATAGAACAACTGAAATGGACATAGCCATTATTTCAAACTCTCATCTTACATCAGTGACTTTCTGTGTATGTCACAAAATGCTGATTAAAAAGTATTGCTTTGTTCATCACCTTTCTGCAAGCATGTGAGTTAGTGGCCTGGTGAACTAACAAATTTCCCAGTGAAACTAATTTTTCTTTATGCGACAGTTTATTTTTAGTTGTAGTGCATTTGTTTGTGCAGATTAAAGAATTTGTGCAGATGTACTGGGGAAGCTTTTGTAGATTATGGCATGTTTATTTTTCCTGCGGCCTTGTAGCTCTTACTGTGTTTTGTAACACTTATCTTTGGCAACTCTGAGATGTGAAAAATCAATCTTCCATATTTTTCTGTTGTCCTTTTGGGATTAGATGGCAATAAATCAAGTTATATATAATATTTTTCCATTTGGGAATACTGATTTTCAGAGAGCAGAAAAATCTGTATGACAGGATTTATCTTAAGGATTCAACTTTTTTTTTCAAGTTCTTGTTTTCTCACTTACTCTTTTGTTTGATACTAAAGTTGAAATTAAAATACAAAGGTTATTTTGCTTATTTTCAACATGCAGTCATTTTTGTTCTTGAACTGACATTAAACTGACTTGGAACTGTTTGTTGCTTTCTTCTGTATACTCCTGTGACAGAAATGTCAGTTGCAGAGGGGTATTTGTGTTTCCCCTCATATGCTATTTGAGGGTATCCAGTAATTTTGACTTTGTCTTAGTGAGAACAGATCAAAAGCTCCCCAGGGCTTTTTGCCTTCCTCAGTTATCATTATATTAGTGTTATGGAATGGTGGGCAATGGGAGTTATGATTTGCAGCTGACTACACTCTCAAACTTCTCTGAACTGTTGTCCTGGAGGAAGAAGGATAAATATTCCAAACAAAAGCTTCCCCTATTTCTATCTCAATATTGACTCTCTGGGGGTCCAGTGATCAAACAGTACAGATAATAATTGTAAGAGTCTGGTTCGTCATGTGTTTTACAAGGAGTTTTCATACAATTATTAAATAATTTCATTAACCTTTTCCCCACTCCTCTGAAATACTAAGTCTCATGTAATTTACCTGGTATGTTCGGGTTAATGTTCTGTAACTGGCAAGACTTTATCTCCTACATTTTCCAGTTACTCATTAATTAATAGAAGTCTTACAGATTTACCTTCAGATAAGTACTTAAACCAAACCTGTTCAGGATTTTTTTTCCTCATATTTCTGGATACTAAAGTTTAATTCCATTTTTAATGAATCTTAACTCTTTACGTGCATTTTTGTGGGTTTGGGAAGGAGGTGCCTGTGTTTAGAAGTGAGATTCTGCAAAAGCTTAGTAGTTCACTTGCCTACAAGAAACCGTGAGATCACAGCCTGTATAATGTTATACTGTGAGTGAACTAGCTATGTAGAGTGAGGTAGCTATGTGGTTGGTACAGTGGGAGTGTCTTTTAAAAACTGAATCAGTACAGGTTTGTCTTTAATGCTGACCCATGTAGGTTTTTCTTTCATGTGTAATATGCTGCTGAAGTCAAACAACAGCACCAAAGGTCTTGCATAGCTTTAATAACGTGTCTCTGGAATTTTGCTGTACTTCAGAAACAGCGGTATGTTTTTGAAGTATTCAATCTGAACTAATGAAAAATCTTTTTGAAGTTTGCATAACCTGGAATGTGATGTGACTTCCTGGTATGACTCAGAAATTAAGTGGTTACTAGGATCCTCATGGTCAGTAAGGCAGAAGGAGAATCTGCTCCATTTCTTATCTCATGGTTTGTTGTTGGGTAGCAGACTTGTTAGATATCTCTGTCATTAAGATTTTTAATTTTTTTTAGTAAGTTTGCTGCTTTTAAAAATTAAGATGTTATTTTGTTCATACAGGAAATTCTATGAGAAAATCAGTTTGGTCTTTGCATGTGCAAATCAAATGCTTGGAAAATAAATATTAAAACTGTCCTAATCTTCTGTAATAATTTGTTCTCTGGCATATTGCTTCTTATATGTATTAAACACAGTACTTAAGTAATATATCCTTATAAAATACAGAATTTTACTAGTGATGCAAAGTGACAGTTTTTAAAAAATCTGATTAAAGTTGGACTTTATTTTTGCGTTGGCTGTGTGCTAATGTTGAGTGTTGGGGCTACTACACTTCTGAGGTTAAACTAATGATGAAACGTTATTTTGAAGGTACAGCAGGGCAGAACTGGAAATTTGGAGAAAGAGTTGGCAGTGCAGTCGACCAAAGCTGATTTCACATCTCCTCCTGCCTTATTCAAATCAGGAATTCCAACAAACAGGTCAGTTAGACAGTTGTAACTCAAGACCAAAAAACTTTTTATACTGTTACCTCTCTGTATTTGAAGTTCATGATTTTTGTAGGAAAAAAGGAAAATATGTTTCTGTAACTGGTAGAAATGAGGGGAAGAATGATCCTCATCACTTTTAGCCTTTAGTTGCCATTACACATGAATGCTGTTCTACCTTCTTGGCTGTTTGGGAAAGAGAAAGTAGAAGGAAAGGGGAGAAAAAACAGCAGGACCAAAAAACAAGGCAGCTATAAAAATCCAGGTGTTGATGTATGACACCATGTTTTTTGTGTAGAATTAGATTGGCCAACAAAATGTTTCTAGCTGATGTCTTTATGGGCATTAGCTAACACACCTTTTCAGTTAAACAAGATGGAATCAGACAGCTGTGACTTCAACAACCAGAGGGATTACTGGAATCCAGTCTCTTTCGTGCAAGGTTCTCCATATTTGAATATTTTACTGTACTTTCTTTGAAATGAGAGAAATTATTTCCTTAGTAGGGTTTCTTCCCCTACTTCCCCCAGCCCTAGGCTTTAATAAGTTCTGTCCTTTGTATTGAAGCTACTGCTGTTTGATGCCTGGCACTTGGCTTAAGCAGAAGCATAGATTCATCCTTACTTTATTTATCAAGTGATCCTATTTAGGAGTTTTGGTTCTGTGCAAATAAAAAGCCATTGTATTATAAATGATGGCAAGAGAGGTAGAGCAGGTTGTATGCTTTTGTCATCAATGGTTAAAAATTAGCATCTATGACTTGTCTTTAGTGCTGCATCCATAAGTACCTTGACTAATTCAGAGGCACTCGTGTTCAATTATTCCATCCTTTAAGAGTCAGTTCAACACCCAAATATATTTCTCTTGGGTGGGGAAAAAAAAAAAAAATCTTGCTTGAAACTCTTGCCTGCATTTTTCTTTCACTCCTAGAATATTCCTCCTGGTAGCCTAAATTCTTCTCTGAGCTATCGGGTTATACTGCTCTGGTTTTAGTAGATTTTAGTTCTTCCCTCCCCCCCCCATTTTTCTTTGTCCAGGAAGTAGTAAAAGTCTTCCAAATTTTGTACCAACAACGTAATTATTTTTTTTTACTTTTCTTTTCTGTATTGCTTCTGATGTGGGACATTCTTGTAACACAGTTCTCAAAATTGAATGTACTATTATTCACAGGGTAAGGATTCCAAATCTGTGTCTAGTACAGGTTTTGTTGCAGGATTTCAATTCTTTATGCATCTCATTGGTGAACAGAGAATCTCTAAAATACTTTAGAAAGTAGTTAATGACCAGGATATTAAAATGTAATTAAGCTTAAAGTTGTAGAAAAAATGCATTGTGTAAATTCTGTGATTCTGTGAAATTTGCATTGTTGTGAGAAAGCTTAATACAATAAGGTCATAAATGTGTATGGTGGAGCTTCATAAGTAAAATCTTTGTGGTATGCTGTAGCTAGGATAAATCTATCTTACCATAGATGCCTTTATACCATATTTTTATGTGATTTTTTTTTTCCCCTGCATGACGTTAGCAATCCCAAGTTTAAGTGAGCATCTTGCTGATTTTCTAAAGGTTTAAAGTTAGTATATTGGTTGTTAATCAGAGCTTTCCTGGGAAACTTAAGACGTGACTGTTTTCTCCAGGAACTAAGTTTACATTAGCAAAGGTTGGGAAAGCCGTGTGTCTTTAAGAATGAGAAGCCAGTAAGTGAAGTTGGTCTGTTGCGTAAAGAGGAAACAAACCAGTACATTTCCAGTTGTAACACTTGTGCATTCTAGTGGTTCGAATAGGTTGGTTTATATACATTTAGTGTGAATACTGTAATTGTAAGTTGTTACAATGGCAAAACTGACTTTTTTCCATACTTAATACCTGCTTCTTTGGATTCATTTGCTTAAAATAAATTCTTGTGTAAAGCAAAAGGTATTTCTACCAAGTGGCCGGAAGAGATTTTGACAGAAAACCATATGCTCAGAAGTCTGAGAGTAGCTCAGTGAATGAATACGTCTTAACTGTATGGATTATATATACTTCTACTTGAATGACTTCTCCAGAATGCAGCTACTATTTTCTGTATATAGAAACCTGTATTACTAATTTTTTTATAACCAGGCAGTGTTTTATGGGATTGGACTTTTTTTTTTCTTTAATTAAAGAGTCAGTTTTAGGTAGGCAGAAATTTTTTGGCAATCCAGCTCTTTGATAATTTAAAATAATTGCCTTTATGCCATGAGATATTCGCAATAGCTTTGTTGTGAAATTGCTGGAAGCATTTCTTGTGTAACAGTAAAACTTCTCTCAGCTTCTAGCAGTAGTTGTTATATTTTGTGAAAGGGAGGGGTAACTGATGCAACTGGGTATAGCAGCATTGGTGTGGGGATTGGTAAGGAGCTGGGCATGAAGAAAAGAGAAACTCAAAGAGCAGACAAGAGAGAGGCACATGAAAAGAAAGACCTAGGCAATTCATCTCACCAGAAGCAGCACCACTTCTCAGTCACAGACAAGGACTGCCTCCAGAAAAGTCAGTTCAGGCATCAGAAACTGGCAGGAGCAGTATAGGAGGGACAAATCACCCAAACTAAGGTAAGGGGAAAAAAAATTGGGGCATGATCCTAATTTAACATTTTAATTCCCCTTTACTAGTCAGGGCTGCAACATCGCTTTGTGGATGATTTTAAACGTAGATATTGCAGCACATATTTCCCTTTAATGGGAAGTCTGAGGACAGATAGTGCTTTTTGCTTTTTTTCATTCATTTGTAAACAAACATTAAAATAATTTTGTGCCTATTGTTTTTACCTTTTTAGTTTGAGTACAGTAGATGTTTGTATATGGTTGCAGTTGAAATTCTTCTTCTTCAAAAAAAAGAAACAACTGAGGTCTAGCAAGAATATTACTCATTACCAACATGGAGGTTGTAGTTTACAAAGTAGAAACAGAATTATTGCTCACCAGCAAATAAAAGTTACTACTTCACTACAGTTGCATCCTAAATGTTTAATTCAAAGAAAAATTCAGTGCCTGTTCATACAGTGTATCTGTGTGAGAAATTTTGCTTGAATTTGTAAACAATGACTGTCTTCATCACAGCTGAGCTACTAGTTGTTTAGAAATGACACCTGAAGCTCTTGTCTTGATTCTGTGATATTTAGGGCTGCAGAATAGCGTAAAGTGTTTTGTAACCCTGAAGGAGGAGTTAGAACATAATGGAAATGGTTTAGAAAATGCACATCATATACAAACAATATTGTACAAAATAGAATGTTCTCTAGAAGTAGTTAATTGAAGATTAATTGTGTGCATGGTCACAATTAAGGTAAAAACCTGAAGGAATCTCTTTTGAGTATAGTGCTTTCTAGAACATGAAGAAGGTTTGATGTATTTCAGACCTGTCCTAACCAGCCAGGTCAGAGATATATTACTGTTTTTTAGACCAGTGCTTTTCCTTACGTCATTTTTCAAGGACTGTGAGACAGTATTTCTTCAGTAGCAGAGAAATAAGCAGAAGTTTCATTTACAAGCTGGATGCAACACGTGGTATTCTTTCATTCCAGTACTACCCAGAATAGCGCTCTGTCACAAAACTTTGTTCTGTCAGAAGCTCTTAGTTTTTTAACCTCCATTTGTGCTTTTTGGGTTATTGCTAAAGAGTACATTACATTTAAATAGATTTTGCTTTCAGAGAAATTAGCCTGTCAATGTGATGGGCTATTTATCAGCTTGCTCTGTGCTTGGGCTTTTCTGTAAACAGAATTTTTATAGAAAATGGATTTGTGGTATGTCATTACTAGGAAAAAATACAGGTTTCTCTTGTTTCATGAACTAGCCTTGTGAGACTAAATGATGAAAACTCAGATGTTATTTTGAAAAAATGTCTATTTCGTGTATCAATTATTTCTGTATTAAATTTGCTGGGTTCTTAATTATATCAATCTGTGGTAAGTGAGCTCAGCAAAATTGAGGCTGTACTCAGGAGGAGGAAAATAAAGCATAAAACACATAAGCAAGACAAGAAGGAACGCAAGAACATATTAAATACAGTTTTTAAAGTATACTATAATTCCTAGACTAGACTACAAGTCTAGTGAATAAATATGGCATCCAGTAGTTAGACTGTTGCTGAATTCTGAAAAGTGGAGGGGGAGGGTTTTCCAAAAAGCAGTTCATTATTTGTATTACTTGTGGTGGGGATGAGGGATTTCTGAATATTTGGAAAATAATTGGGTTTGTCTTCTTTCTTCTGCTTTTTTTTTCCCCCCCTTTCTCTTTGCTCTGTAGAACCTGAATAAACTCAGCTTGCCAAATGAGATTGAGATATCTTTCTGAATTAAGTGGTATTCATAGTGCAAATAGCTCGTAAATAACCATTCTCTAATTAGAGTGAAATTACTCACTGAGTTGCTGGAATGTTCCTTTCAAGCTACACTTTGTATGAACTCTGCTGTGGGTTCATGTGCATCCCACACGTGTGGATTGCCTTTTTATGTTTGGGTGTATCCATTGGGAATGCATCTGTATCCCAGGTGCCCTGATTGTGTAAGGGACAAACCAAGCCCTTTCTTTTCTTTGCATACAGTACTGAGACAGAAACCTGGTAACGCCTGCTTAACATCTTATCACTAAGCTAGATAATGGCTGGGGAGTCTTTGAAATTTCCCCATGTGCCAACCGGCTATGACTTAATCAAGATTTGAGGCTTCAGATTTGCCCTTTTTAACAAACTGCTGAACTGTTAAATTCTGGACACTTCAGATGCCTCTCTTGCCTTTATGAAGATTACATTTTTGACAGTGGTGTTGTCTGCTGCTCCATTTGCAACTGAACATATGCTTTCTCTTGTTCAATTTCAAGCTCTTTTAGTGCAGTACTTAATGAAATCATTATTGCAGTCTTGAAAATAGAGAATTTGTCAAGTTCAAGGCAAATTCCTGAACTCATCCATCATTACAAAAATTAAATCTCTTGGCAGCTGTTGGGAAGAACAATGGACATACCACTACAAAACATTATTAAAAACAGTATAAAGCACCAGCTGAGTGAGAATGAGTGAGCATAGGTGTACTCTTCAGATTCTAGAGAAATTAAGTGAAAGCCCTGTTCATTTCAGTAAAGTTGGTGTGTAGGAACCAACTGGTAGTCTAGATTTGCTTCCTTTGATAATGCAGTGTTATACTTGGGCAGCTTCCCAAGCCAAAATTGGTATTATTGTAGTATGTTTAATGCCCAGTACTCTTGCACTGGTGTCCATTGCCTGTATTTTCAATGCTGATTCCAAAAGTTGTTGGCAGTGTGCAAACACTGCAAGAGAGGAAGAGCCTTAATTTGAAATACATCACTCCCAAGTGGAAGCCCTGTAAAACAGTGGAGGGAGCCAAGCAGGGCATCACCTGAGGAGGGACTTCTTGCTATAGAAGAGAAGCATCTATCATACACAAGGACTAAAGCTAGGTAAAATGAGTTTTCTGGGATATGGTTTTAGGTAATTCAGAGAAAGTGCAAGCGATGGAGGAGAAGCAGTGTCTTAGAACTCTGAAACCAGATAAGCTATCAGAGTGAAGACTGAGACAAAGTTTTGTGGTTTTACAAAAATTCACTTGCCCTTTTTTTTGGTAGTGAAACAGTTGGTTTAGCAACTGTTTTATAATAACTATGTTTCCAATTTAGTTAGTGAAAGCAAAATAATAATAATCCAATGTGCGGCAGTGCTGGAATACCATGCAAGACCGCTGGGGAGGATTAGGAAAGCAGGTGTTGATTATTTCAGGATTTAGACTGAAACAATCTGACTTTTAGGATGAGATGTTAGAAGATCAGAGAATTTCTTAAACTTGTGTTATCCTTGGAGAGGCTGCTGTATAGTATAAACTGTTTTAGTTTGCAGATGTGTTCTCAGACTCTTGTACCACTGGACTTTTGTTTTTTCCTCCAAACTGTTACGCTTAATAAGTTCACTTTAAAATCCAGGCGGAAGCTCTAAACCCAGATACGGAAAAGCTCAGAGGACAGGCATTTGGATCATCCTCAGTATGCAGTCTGCCAAGGAACTTTAGATTATCTCTGGGAGATCTAATTGGTCCTTCATGGTCTGGTGTCTGCTCTGTCTTTTTCAGCTGCATTGGAATCTAGGTATTTGAGCAATTGGAGTCAGCTATCAGTCCGGCAGAACTTGGAGCCTGTAATCCCAATGTCCAGCTGTTCTCCCTGATATTTGTATTAATGTAGTTTTCTCTAAATAAGATGCACTTCTTCAAATTAATCATTAATAATTAATAATCATACCCATTGAGAAAGAGATCTTGGAATTATTGTTGCTGCTTCCCAAAATGTTAGTTCAGTTTCCAGTTTTATCCAAAATAAGAAAATGGAATGGTAGTCATCATTAGCAGTGGGGAACAAACTGGGAAAAGTCATTATGGTAGTACATAAAGCTGTGATGCATTGAGAGCTGAATATTGTCTGTGGTTCTGTTTATGTCAGACAAGAGAAAATACAGTAGAGGTAGGTAGGAAGTGTCCACAAAAAGGTGAAATAAATAATGAAAATTATGGAGTCACTTCTGTATGAGGAGAGATGTGGAGTAGTTCAGCTTGGGAAGGAGACAGCTGAGAAGAGATCCAACAGAGGTACCACGAATACTAGACTGCCAGAGAACAATTTTTTTTTTTTTTTTTTTTTTTAAACTCAAGGATTGTAGGGCACCAAATACAATTGTCAGGCAAAAAAATAGCGGAAACAGATCTCATCACTGGAGATCAAAATTAAAAGCGTGTTCAAAAGAGATTGTGCAAATGCAAGTTAATTGGAAGCTATTAAACACAGTTGCATGGGAAGTCCTTAAATTTTTGATTGGCAGAAACTGGGAGGGAAAGAATGTGTATATGCATGTCACTTTTTCTTGTCATCTTTCTCTAAAAATCCATTGTTAGCTGCTTCTAAGGTAGCTGTTCTTAATTTACATTATGTTGTTGCCTGTTTGGGTTGTAAGGGAGACTGAGGTGGGTCTTGTGCTGCTCTGTTGCCAGTTTCTTTAAAGAAGAACAACATAGTGCTTAGCTATGCAAATGTTTAGCGGTGTCTGAGAGAGAGACATTTTGCATTTGGAAAACTAAGGAACAGAAGTATGAATAGCTGGTCTAAGATTCCTTTGAGTTTCATGCAAGGTTTAATTTAAGAGTCAGTGTCTACTAGTTTCATATACTTTCTGTTTGATATTAAGACTGTATTCCAAGATAAGAGAGGTGGCGGCTGATTTTGTTCAATATGTGCTACAATATCAATAGTATGCCTGGTAGGCTTGGCTTATGTTTATTTCTGCCTCTTAACTTACCTTTGTTTGATCTTCCGTGGAATCCTCCAGTATGGTTTCTGGCAGTTTAGAAATTATTTCTAATGATTAGTTTTTAACTATTTTACTTTAGATTTTTGTAGAAGTTTTGCTTAATATATTTTTTTCTTCTTGAGGTTTTTGTGATCTCACTGTATTGTTCCTTCTTTTTTTTTTTTTTCTTTCTTTTATCAGTAATAGAAGTGTAGAGTTATTAACTTGTAGGGGATGGAAGGATAATGTGGAGAGTCAGCCTTCATCCCACAGGAGTCTTTATTGCTGCCCTGTTTAGTTCTACAGACTTGGATATTTCAGCAAATTTATCACATTTAATGTTCCTCAGAAATGGTCTTTTATATTTTATACAGGAGAAGGAACTTCTGGCATGTAGAATGAGAGAAGTCCATAAGACTTCCTTCTCTCTCTTTTTATTTTTCTTTTTTTCCTCCTTTTCTATTTCTGCTTGTTGATTCTGGTTTGTCCTGTGTTGCAGGAGATTGTCTGGCACAATAGATGTGATTGGACAGACCATCACTATCAGCAGGGTGGAAGGACGACGGCGTGCTAATGAAAACAGCAACATACAGGTTTTATACTGCAGATTTACACACTATCTTTGACTAAAAGACGTTTCTGCTTTCCCCATAGCTTCTGATTAAAACATTTCAGTGTGTATGAATGAGTAACCCAGAAGTAGCTTTAAGTTCAGGAAGAAAGTTGCGGCAGTTAATTGAAATATATTAAGATTAAATATTTGATATATTTCAAAAGATGAATGTTTTGGTAAACTACTTACTGAAAGGAAATGAGCAATATTGCAGACTTACAGTCCAGGAGACAGCATTGGCTCTGCTAGGTCTGCATGGGGTAGTGTTTTGTTTACTAAGTGACAAAGATAAATATTGAAACTGACTGTCCATTTCTCCCCTGTTCCTGCCAGACACTAATGCTGAAAGTGAAAGCCTCTTTGTATGCAGTTTGAGAAATGCTTTTTAAAAATAGGTTGTGAAGGAATAAATAGTCGATAGTACTTTTTTTTCTTAATTATATTGTATTGTTTTACCATAAATTTTAAGACTAGTCTTTATGATTTTAGTCTTTATGGGCTTGGATTATCTTAAGAAAGCAACTAAATGCATTAAGATTGAACAAACTTTTTCTCTCCTGACTTACCTATGGAGAAGAATCAAGATTTCTTGGTGCCCTGGCTGCATATCCATGCCAACTTAGGTTAAGGTTAAACAATGAAACTAATAATGGATTGTAGTGCATATATTGAAAACGTTGCGATATGTTTTTCAGCTGATCTCACAGTACTTAAGTAATTTAAAGTCTTGGGTTTTTTCATGCTTTTTGTATTGATTTTTAAAATATTTTCCTTTATATATAAATTTAAGATGGTGTTTTGGGCCATATTCAGATGGCTTGTATTCCCTCTCAAATCTTACGTTTGTGTTCCCTATTGGCCGCTCTTAGACCCTCAGAGGTAGTTGGCGAGTATGGGACACTGACCGTAGGGATACAGGTAGAACTTAAACCATCTGAATATGGCTCAATATTTCCTGTTGTAGTAACTGG